CAAAGAGAATGGGGGTGGGGCCTGAATTTATTACACACCCACTAATGCAAAGTGCTTAACACTGTCTTGATCAAATCCTTTACAATCTAAATCAGGAAGTTGTGGTCAATTTTGCGTCCAGATGTGATTACATTCTGTAACAGAATGCTTGCAAAAAGTAATGCCTCTTAAAGTACAAGGAATGTACCACTGGTCTGTTTCCTTCACAGCCCAGACTTGGATATTGTATTTAAGAGGATTCAGACACATTTCTAGGAAAAATGCATGAGGAGTTAGGGTTGAATCTTTTAAGCTCGAAACTCAAGAGGTACTACATGTCATGAGCATGCGCAGGTACATGTAACTGTGTATTCAAACCTGTACGTGTAACGGCATAATGGAAACTCTTTCAAAGACAAAAATACTTGGAACTTTCAGCACCATTTTATTCTAGACACTTGTAAAATGTGCCACTTGGCACAAGCAGAGCAACTCAGTAAAAGGTCAAATCCAGGGGGAATTTGTTTTAATTTTCCATTCAAATTTTGCCTTTAGTTTCATTTACCATAAGCTGAAGACCCTGGCAAGATGTACATGTACATGATGATGATGGTGTTTTCCACTTCGGCAAACTTTCAGTTTCATTTACATCCCCCTATTAAATAACACACTCTGGCAAATCGATGCAGCTCAATCTTCTCCTTCATAACCATCAAAATCAATCCACCAATTATTCCCCCCCCCTCGGTTTCAAGGGTAAAACTGAGACAACGATTCCAGATCCCGTGATGGGGCTTAAACAGAGAGACAAAGCCAAAATATGGAAACTGTCTGTGAACTGCCCACATGTTTATGGCCTTGTCCCTGCCTCCCGCCTGCGTCTCCTCCCAAACACATCATCTCCACATCACTGGACATGACAAGCAACCCCCTACCAGCCTCCTGACATGCTACACATAATAGAATACTTAGCAATCCTGTCTTTCCTTGTACGGGGAGGGGGGGGAGAGCACTAATCAGTGAGATGAGTAACGTTGAAAGCCCAGACAAGAGACCAGCTCTGGGGAAAACATTACACGCATGGGTTCTGGTGCGGTAAATCAACGCTGGCGACTTACATGCATACCTACGGGAAGTACACGACTGCAATAAGAGTACATGTACATGTACAGTATATGTACATATAACTTTACTGCACCTGTGTCCTTTCTCTCTTTTGTGCTAATTATTATTTAATGCTGCTTGTCCACATGGGCAGGTGGCTCTGAGGATATACACACATGCATACATGTATAAATAAAAACACACCAAGGTCTTTTAGCTCAGATAAAGTTGTTTATCTTCATATTACAAATCATTTCATTGTCTCACTTTGAAATTAAGCCACCTGTTCTTGGAGTGAAATAGTTTTCACACACAAGTATATGTTCCCATATAGGCCTACACCATACTTGTCTTTTTCATTAGTTTATTTGGTAGCATGCTCATCTACCGTCTCACTGATGCAATGTCGGTTTTTCCAGTCGGCCAAACTGGCTTGAAGGTCTACTCATACATGTACCCACCAAGATTTCATTTTCAAACTTAACTTACTGGTATACCCATTGCCAAAACTCCATGGGATTAGGCTCACACATGTACAATGAAACCCCTTCACACTTAAGTCGGTATTTTAAAGCTTTTAGATGTAAAAGAAAAAACTTGAGTTTGGATTGCCTTGAATTTAAAATCAAACATTACCCGAGTAGGCCTTCATGTACAGGTAGCAACTTTTAAACAATGTCTCTGAAGATTATTGAAAATGCTCTTTTTTCATACAAATCTTACCCTTCTCCCAAATTTTTGTACCCTCATTTTTCACCAGGTGATAATTTTCAACCTCTGCCCCGCCATAAAAAAACTACTCCACTGCTTAAGAAGTCCCTCAGAACCAACTCAGAATAATGACTACTCTAATGGGCCACCACCACATGGCTAGTCTGCCATTATAATAATAAATCACCCCTTGTGGGACCTCTGCCAACCTTAGTATTATGCTGAACAATCATTTTTCTGAGACCCAAAAACTAAAATACATGCACAGTATATGGCCAAAAGTAAGTACGTGGAAAGTATGGCAGATTTGGTGCTGGCATTTTGGCCATCTTGCTCAGATTTCAAAGGACAGAGAATGTACATGTACAGTGTACAGTAAACATTCAGTACATGTACAATGTATGTCATAATACATGTATATGTACATGTATACTGTACACTGTTGTACAATATATGGTACCTGCCAGTACCGTACATGTACATGCCAATTTAGGGTACTGAAATGTTTTGCTCAATGTACAAGTACATGTACACGTTCACGCTGCATTTTTAATATGTACAATTTAGGCCGACCAATTAGTATTGTATTCTAGTAAAAATATTATTATCCTAAAAAAAAATTTGAAAAACTTAAACAAGTCTTTTTAGAGAGAATGTACAAACAGAAGTGTTACGGGTTTATTGTTTTCTTTCATCCTGACTGTACTTCAACATCACCAGCTTCAATAGTCCAGCCTAAGAGTACATGTACAAGTGTATATTGATGGGACGTTTTCTATTACAAACAGCACTTCAATTGACAGGGTCAATTTCACCATTTTATTTCCCTCCAGAGAAGAACAAAAGAGGTTGACTGGAACCATAATGTAAACACTGACTTTAAACTGCCTCTCTGAGCCTGGGTGAATGAACAATGTCATCTTCGTCATCATCACACTCAAAGAGCTTCATCCCGAATTCCAGAGGGACTCGTAACCTGCAAAATATTTGGCAAACCAGAATCCAAGAAACTCCGATGTGTTGGTTTCACCTTTGAACTCTCTTGTTGTGGGTTGTTTGCTTACACTGTGGTGCGGTTTGTTGTCCATTCTACATCACTGAGTACCAAAGTATGCACTGACAATGCATGTGGTTTTCAACCAAACCAAAAATAAAAATACAGTAAATTTCACACAAGATTACATTTATTTGTATGGTACTGGTAACAACACTGCTAAATTTATAACCTCCGTGTACACAAATCCAGTAACTTACAATACAATGTACATGTACAGTACATACTGTGTGTGTACATGAACATACCTACCGGAACATGTCAGAGAACAATGGTTTAGTACATTTATGTAAACTTTTCATCTAGAACAAAACACATGTATTAATATTACGAATTTGAGAAGCCATTCTCCTCAGATCAGTCGGCAAAGATCTGTGAGGGAAAATGGTGAAATTAAGAAAATTCATCAAATAATCAAAACTTAATAAATTATGGACACAGCATCATAACACTCAGTATCGTGTTTCCACGGTAACCACATTACCATTTTTATTGCCAATCTGAGGCACACATGCATATCGTCTCAGATAAACATTTCCATACTTGTCAGACAGTTCCCAAACAAGTCCAGTTTGTAGAAGCGCATATTCTGTGGTTCTTGAGTCAGTCAGTAAATTGAGAAAAACTCAGAACTTCTTAGAGTGCAGTTTTTGAAAATTACGCATGTATGTGCACATGTATGTACATGTATGTAGTTTCAAAGGAATACTGTAAATTCCTACACATTGTGAGTAAATATGCATTTGTGGAGGAAAGAAATTACATTCATTTCAAACTTTCCCCCTTAATATTCAATACTTGACATGCTTTTATAATCACTCCCACATGAACAATTGCAGTCATGTTCAAGCGTGTACTAATCCTGTACATGTACATGTATGGATGAGGTGCATCAAGGATACTGTATGGATGAGGCACATACGGTACATGTACACGGGTACACTGTACATGTACATGTATAAGTATGTACATGTCTCCACATGTAAATGTACACGTACTAGGAGTCTGTGTTGCATGACTTCGGCATATACAGTACCTTATACATGTAAACTTTGAACTACATTTAGATAGCGGACCATACACGTACAGTGTGTTTTATCGCTAAGGAATGTGTCTTCAGTCATCCACAGAATGGTTCATTGTGACATGTATTTGTACATGAAGAGAGATAAGGTCATGTGCTTATTTCCCCCTCAATACCCTCCGGCACTCCTAGCACTGTCTGGAACCTTCGAACAATAGATGTCACTCACTGAAATGTGCAGTTTGCATCACCTCCAAGAAAAAAAAAGTCACCCCTTCACAGAAACAAGGTGGTTGTATTCAGATATGCAGGATGGATCCCTGTCGCCTGCCTGTACTGTGCAGCATTGTAGAACTATATTCTTCACAGGAAATAGTGGAAAAAATTTGCAACCTTTGTCTGTCCTACACAAAAAAATAAATTGTACAAAGGAGTACAGTATAAAAACTATTTAATGCACAGACTTAGAGGATACCTTTTACAAGTCTCAGGCTGCTTGCCTGTCCTATCAATAACAGTACAGTGTATTTTTTATCCAGCCCACGTCTTTTTTAACAATTGGTATAGTCAACTTGTGTGAAAGTGGAGATAAACACATTATGTTATTATATTATTTTAAAAAAGACTGGCACTTTTCAAATTTGTGATGCACGTAGGGTAGTCTGCAATGAGAAGCAATTGTGTATGTACACGCTCACCAATATTCACAGATATGGACAAGATGCATACCTACCGGTAAAAATCAGTCCAATGGATTCTGAACATTGCAGCCATTTTAGAAGGTTTTTGAAAACGTGCAGAATTTGGTCACATGAATGTGGCAACTACCAAACCAAAACTTACAAGTGTGATGACCAGCAAGCTTATCAAGGCGGCTAAACCACCAAATGCACACTACATGTACAGTACATGTACAGATACATGTGTGTATAGCTACAGTACCAGTACATGTACTTTTTATCACACAAAGTTTATTATTCATTCACACAAACATTTTAAAATGATTCCAAGAATATCTTATGTTTGATCGGACAGAAATTACTCAAATATACATGTATACTGAGTTATTTGAGTGACACAGCTCTTAACTCTTGATTCAAGATACCAGTAGTCATACAAAATATTTACCAGTATATCGGCTACTTGCCGAGGCCCGCATACCGACACCTCAGGACAACTCATACAATGACAACAGAAGAATGAGCTGATCAATTCTCATGAGATTATGCACCAATGCTCCTGAAGATCTTTACGTCAAATCTGTTCCTTCCATTTGCCAACACGACATCAAGATGAACTGTATTCATGTGTTTGCATTTGGCTCACATTTTAGGAGTAGTTACCGGTGCATGTCTATGTGCTCAGGCGTAGGATGGGGTGGGGGTGAAATGCTTAAGTACATGTACCATGCATGTACATGTATGTAAGGTGTAGAACGTTGGGGGAGACTGGTGGGGATACATGTATTGTTGATTTTGTAATCTCTTCCCTTTGACACAGTGTACATGTACACATACACTGTACATGTATGGCCCTTGAAGTGACTTTATCCAGTGCCAACCACTGGTCATGCCCCTGTCACCCACAATACCTTCTCTCCACAAAAGCCCCACATTGATTTGTTGCGTGCCAACATAGGGCATTGTTTAGCCCCAGACAGGGGGGATTGGGCCAACAGTTCAGAGCTGCCACCCTGCAGAAGGAACTGAGTGATTGCAGGGGGGGAAAGGCATTGATCAGGGCAGATCGATCCTAACCACTACCGCACAAAAGGTCAGGTATGCAGATCATACAGAAGCTGGTTCCTGTCATAAAAAGGATGTGCATGAATGATTAATGGGGGGAGGAGGACCTGTTAGCCATAGCGCACTTGACAAGGATAACTGCTGAATGCAGTGAGGGGTGCACATTCCCCCATACAAATGGAATAACTTAATACCAACATTCCAATGGCTTATATTTTACTGAATATACATGTAAGTTGTAGCTTTTCAAAACTAGTCCAGGCTAACTTGACCACTTGTGAACAAGTTAAATGCCAGTCTGAGCCTGGTACCATATTTCCTTTTCAAAAGATCACCTGCACTGTCCCACATGTACTTTTTTAGGGGCCTGGGTTAAAAAGTTGAATGTACCATTTTCTAGTATCATGTGTGGCTTCATGGCATCTTTTGTTTCTAGTCATGTCTTCCCTGCAGTGACTAAATCTATACACAAGTGTATGCATAATATTAATGAGATGGCACAAAAACCATACAGCCTACATGTACCGGTACATGCCCTCATGCACTATTTGTGGCACCCACAGAAAGATGCTGGGCACAGCTCTGCACAAATTTGTACATGTACATGTACGCCTACATACAAAGAACTACATGTACATCAGTCATGCACACTTCTATGCCATGTGTGCACACACCAATGTTCACATGCTGTCCTTCATGTACTGTACAAACTGCCACTGCTTGGTAACAAAATGCCTAAGTTAGACTAGTATTATCATTCACACATGTACGTACTGTACATGTACATGTACAGCACATGTACATGTACACCGGGGTACATACATGTACGTGTACCCGAAACTGGTACAAAGGACCAAGAGTGAGCATCAGTAAATACTGAGGTTGTACACAGACCTGTACAAACATTCCTCCTCAATATACCGGTATGAAATCTATCCTACATTGTACATGTACATATCCCCCTAGATTCCCTCTTAATTTACACAAGTTCTTCATTTCTCCCTCAACTTTGAGGCAGCAGCTGTATACTCGTACATCAGTACCCAGCCCATGTCAATGTTTTTTCTAATCATTAAAACCTTTATTGTTATTGAAAAACGTCTTTACACTGTGATTACCCTAAAAGCTTGCAAACGGTGATTACTCCTGTGAACTGTACCGATGCCGTGGTACACACATGTACATGTACTGTACCCATACAGTTCCTTAACAAATACATGTACAAAATATTCACATACATGTACCGGTACATGTACATGCTGTAATTCATTCAAGTACACGTACATTACATGTACATCTGAAGGCACAAATTTAGTACGGTATGAATGCCAAAATGCATTTGACGAAGGGAAAAACATTCATCAGTCTCGTAAAGGGGCTACACACTCTTTACAGATATTAGCGATTAGGGCATCATGAATACAGTCTGCCAAACAAGATGGCCAGGTGGTCAGGCAGCTGCAGATACAGACCACATACAATGGAATCCATAATATTTATGGAAAATATCATATATTTTACGGCCTTGAAAATGCCTACAATAGAATAGTGAGACGTTTATTAATAGTACAGACGCACCAGTTACGTAGACTCTACGCACATGTAGGTAGAGTTTACGAGAACGTACTACTCAATCAGACAGACATTGAGTGAAATGGACAGTGCGTTCCTAAATGCATACATCTATGGCACTGTTCAATTTATTGACCTCTGTTGCCTCAGTCAAGAAAACTGTGGATGGCTCACATGTAGTGAGTTGTACCGGTGTGTGTGTTATATAAAGAAATTTCAAGTGAATTAAGTGTCAAGTACAAATATCCAAAGCAAAATGACAGCCTGATTTTTTAATATTTAGGGGCAGACATACCGGTATGTAAACAAACATCTATATTTAGAAACATGTTTATATTTCAAAAAGTGAAAAAAGTGAATATGTAAAAGATTTTTCACCTTCCTACATTTGATTTGCAAACGGAACAGTCCGTCAACAAATTCACAATGGACCTCCCCTCCCTCCCTCATCTAAAAATGGTCTAGCGACCCTCAGGAAAATTTCCTGTTTCTTCCTGGGCAAAGTCTGCAAAATGAAAGCAGCAGTCTCCGCTCCATCACGGTGCTTGTAACTCAAGAAAATCAAGAGATTTGTGGTGCCAGACAGGTGGGACTTGGGTTTCAAAGGACAGATTGCTGTTACACGAATGATACACTGGCAGCACTATGCCAAAATCACTCACTCAGAAACCCAATACCGGAATGCATGTGCAGGAACAAAAAGGATTTAATAGACAGGATGTGGGCAAACAATTCCCAAAAGAACCTTTTTTCATTAATGGGTTACAGAACTTTTTAAAATTTACTTCAAGTAGCAATGTGAATACCAGTCAATTCGTAACAACACAGACAAATTCAGCAACAAACAATCTTTTATATACATGTATATTGGTACATGTCCTACATGTACATGTATATTTAAATTTTTCACTTGTACATTTAGGTACTCTTGGAAGAAATAAGATAAAGCATTTGAACCAACCAGAAAAAACAGGTCTTTCATTCAAAAATTAATTCTAAAAAAGAAAAAACCAAAACAAAGAGAATTTTGGCTTTATACACTTATCGGTATGGCACTCTTCCCGTATTTTCTCTGTACCAAAAATCTGCCAGCGAAGACCGAAGCTTGACTCTGAATCTCAGTTTGACCACAAAATGGATAGGCTCACACATATACATGTACAGTACATACATGTATAGTACATGTACATGTATATGTACCTCTATGTACAGTACACGTACTGTGCATGTTTACATGTACACTGTACATACTGCTTTACACTTTTGGTACCAAGATGTATCACTGTTTGAAATTCAGAACAACCACGGGAGAAGAACAAACTAACAGGTTTTCATTCTGTAAACATGCACTGTACCATAGGCAAAGTAGAAGACTATTTCACTGTCTGTACGACTACTGGTACCGTAGAATGGTTCATGATGTTGTCCGTGCACAACAGGTACTGGTGGTATACAGGCTATGTTCAATATATACGGTACAAGACACCAAATCAGCATTGTTACACTTACCATATTCATCGGTAGACTGTAGTTTAAACTTATTAACCTTGGACAGATTTGTAACTGGAAATGAAGGGGAGCCAGCTACTCACTCTGTACCTTCCAAGGCTTCCACTGACACTTCATAAACATCTAGAGACAAACACTTGTTGCACATTATATCCAATATCCAAGTTCCAACAGGGAGTACCGGTGTACCAGTAGATGTACATATGCTAGTAGTATGTACATGTACTTATACGTATAGTGCATGAATCTGTACAAGTGTAGATGATCATCAGAGGATGAACAGTACCGGTACGTGCATACATTACATGTACATCAGTTCCTTATTTATAAGAGCAAACTGAAGTGCCCAACATGTCTGTTCAGTTCTCCAGAGCAGTCTGAGCAGCACTCCCACAAAGTCCATGTACTGGGGGTACAGTGCAACTACTACAGTACCCAGTGCAGTTAGATGTTGGAGGAGGGTTGCCCTGATGCCAATGCAGTGACTCACTGTACGGATGAGTACACACCTCCAATGATCAACCACTGCAGTCAGGCTTGTCCCACACAGCATTAACAGCAACCTGTAGTCAGATGCTCAGAGAGTGCGTGGGGCCCGGGCCCAGGCTCAGTGGTGGGGAATGCAAACAGCAAGTTGATATCTGTACATTGTATATTAACCTAGGTATAATTAGTCAAATTTCAATCGGTGCTTATCAGTTCCGGCAGGAAATATTGACAAGTACATATATGTACATGTACTTGGGTCCAAAAATATGATACATACATGTACATGTACTACTAGTGTACAATGTACATGTACCGGTACATGATCAGTACCAGATCAGTCACCATGCCACACCATACATGTACAGTGTACATGTAGCATGAATGTACATGTACATGTATCTAAGGGTAGAAATTAAAAGACACAGTCCTACCGTGTATTTCTTGAAATGAAACAGTGTTTGCCTGTACATGTAGGCGTTCTGCCGATGACATCATCAAATCAGCCTGGGAGCGTGAACGGCCAAAAGGGGATTATTTGTGGGCGGGGAAATGCAGGATCGTTTTATTCATTTTGGTGTCACAATTAATGGGGTAAACATTGAATTTATGATGTTTTTGAAATGCTTACTACCATATTTATTGTTATTTTGAAATACTTCACGTGAACTGAATGTTTTCGATTTCTGTTAACCTTTAATACTCATAGTTCAAAGTTCACCGTTTTTACAATCAGCAAAATTCATATGCAAAACCAACAACGCATTAACTGTTAACATGACCGAACTGAAATGTCCGCAAAAATACCTGTACATGTACCGGTAATTGTCTTTAGTTCAATAATTCTGGATTTAGTGAGGAGAAACCACATTGGAATGTTAAAGCTAATAAGCTAAGCTACAATGACAACATTGAATCCAAACAGCATGAACTAATGCTCTCCCTTTACAACCCTAAACATGTACATGAACAATCCCAGTGGATTTTTCTCATAATTTCTTCCAAATTAACAGTGAATCTTTCAAAAGGAATTTTGAAAATTTCCTGTAGTAAAGTAGGCCGATTGCTAATTGGGTGTATTGATTAAATCAGTGTCCCCCGCCCACCAAGTAAGACATTCTATTGGTCATTTGGTTTACATGTCTGTATTTTCTACACATCATGATGAGGCCAAACAAATAATAGTTGTGCTTCAGGTTATCTGCCCTAACCTAGCAAATCACGCCAACCTTAATTTTTTTATTGAAAAAAAACTTTTATGAAATATACTGTTGCCTACCCTCATGCTTATTTTTATACACAAAGCTTTGAAATTGTTTTAGATTTTGACATTTTGGGGCTTGAAAATTTGATGTTTTTCTCCCATGTTAATTGGTCTCATGGTAGTTATCGGTGTGATCATGATCAAGCATACCATAAATGCATACCATAGTAACCATAAACATGGATTTTACGCAGGGTCTGTTCAGAGTTTAACTATTTGTTTGTGTATTTCATCTGCTCATTGTACGTAAACTAAAAGTATCATTGATATTAAACGCAAAAGCAGACTGGGGCCCAGACTATATACATGTATCACATCACGCACGTTGTACTTGAAGCTTGCACGTTGTGCTTGCACGTGTCATGGCGGTGGAAAGCACACTGTGAGCTGGGGGAGGAGCTTTGGCCTTAGAATTTGGGAAATGCACTCACATTTCAATAAGTAAAATAATTAGGTCAAATTCTTTGTCCTTCATTTCATGTAAATGAAGGCATGTTTTTGCAGATGAGGGCATGTTTTTACAGATACTTGAGAGAATAATTTCTGTACGTGTTATTCAAACCCAACCTGCTTCTCAACAGACATTTTAAGCCACTTGACCATAGATATTACATTCAAGTTTTTGCTACTTGTCATATTCGAATTGAAACCTTACATTTTCATGAACCATCAAAATTCTCACCGCTCCAATTTTTGACCCAAAAACTTAAGAAAAAAAAAGATACATGT